ATTCAGCCCCGTTATGCGTGGTCCCGTGAAAATTTTTGGCGGGAGAATGGCTAACTCCGGAACCAGGGAAGCTAAAAGGCTGAAACTTTCAGGAAATGTTCCCAACTCATCTACAGCTTAAATTTATCAAATTCAGCCCCCGTTATGCGTGATTGCTACGTACGGCCCCGTGAAAGTTTTTGGCGGGAAAATAGATAGCTCCGGAACCAGGGAAGCTAAAAGGGTGAAACTTTCAGGAAATGTTCCCAACTCATCTACAGCTTAAATTTATCAAATTCAGCCCCCGTTATGCGTGATTGCTACGTACGGCCCCGTGAAAGTTTTCGGCGGGAAAATAGATAGCTCCGGAACCAGGGAAGCTAAAAGGCTAAAACTTTCAGGAAATGTTCCCAACTCATCTACAACTTAAATTTATCAAATTCAGCCCCCCCCCCTCCCATTATACGTGGTTGCCACGTACGGCCCCGTGAAATTTCCTGGCTGTAATTTGGGTAACTCGAGAACTGAGAAAGCTGGGAACCTGGGATGTCAAGAAAATGTTCCCTGTCCAAGTATAGCGTGGACAATTAACTTCCCGAAATTCGAGGATCAGTATGTCAGAGGTTTCTATCTAGCGGAATTTCGGGTGATCTTATTACAGCACGAAGCACTGCAAAAACGCATAATCGCATGGGCCCGCCCAGTGCGCGTCGCCAATGATTAAATATTGAAATATTAAATTTTGTATTAAGCTAGTGGATTTTGACAATGCACTCTGGCAGCGATCAGTTGTTCGTCTTTATTCTGGAATGTTATAGCTCACTGACTACAGAACAGCTGACCAGGAGCAATGACCTTCAGCAACAAACCGTACGAAGTGATGTTTCGGAGAAACAGCTCAGCGAAGCTCTTGCAAAATGCTCCGAACTTGAGAAAAGTTATCGGGAACTTATGCGTACGAAAATCGAACTCGAAGAAAAATTGAAGCATCTGGAAAGACTGCGGGCTGACAAACAAGAAATGCAGATGGAGGAGGATAAGGAAGCACTGTTGAACGGCAGAATACCTATCCGTGTACGACTACTGGTTGCTTTTTGCATAAGCTAAAAAATGTCGCAGTCGGAGTTTCCTCTGAATGTCATTGAAAATATAAAACTGGCCCTCAGACACGTTTAATCTTTTTGTCAAATGTTTTTATGAATAGGAGTTGCTAGGTGCAGTAATCAACAGTTGGTCCAATGCACATGTAATGAAGATAGTCAGGAAATAGAATGTTTTTATGGAAAATCGTCTGAACTTCAATTTTTTTGAGTTCCAATTTTCGAATTATTTTTGAGTTTTTGTTATGAATTTCACTATGAATTTTTTCTTTCATCCTATGAACTACGTCTTTTGAGCTTCAAAATTACAAATTTATGAATTTCGCACTCTGTAGCGGTCTGCCAAGACTTTAGTTTCTCCGAATTAAAAACAAAATGAGG